CCATCTGCGACATCGGTGGGTCAAGTCGTGTGCCATTTCTGCAGCCAATCCCGACATATTAACCACTTGTGCAGGGGCATCGCCGTACCCGAATGTGACGGGGCCATCAAAAAGTGGGTTGCCAACTGCTTAATATTCATGTGGCCATGCCCTGATCCGGCCTCGTGTAGATGTCTTCCCTGTTGAAGGTTTGCCTCGGAACCCTGCCAGATCCAGTCGTTCCTCACTGGTCATACTCCAGAAAGTGGCAACCAATTAATCATGGCTCTGAGCTATACCCAAAAGACTTCAGACGACTCCCTGATCTTAAAATATGTAAGAAATGTCATGAGCGTACTTCATTGTCGTCGACGCTCATGCAAAGTTTCGGGACAGCGATCGCTGTACGAACAATTTGCCACTTACCTCACCGAGAACGGTCTGTATATGAAGAGCCAGTATTCCGCTGACACTTTCAACGGTCAACTTGCGAATCAGACAAACCTTGCCGTCAAGGTGCGCCCCCGCTACTCACCATCGATATCCAACATTCACAATTCCATTTCAAGTCTATCGTTGCGCTCAGGGCTGCGTCCGAGATTTTCCAAATTCTTGGGGATAACGAGAAGAGCCAACTGTACAACGTACGTCTCCTATCCTCTTTCATCGTTGAAGCAAACCTGATATGTGCGTCTGCGGCAGAGCACTGCATCCTCCTTCTTGGAAAAATGGCTAAAAATTGCTGTCTCGTCTGACGGGTCTCACTATACCCTCTCTTATGGAAGCAACCCGTAGTGAGTGCCGGTAATCATTTCGCTGTGACCATTCCTCTTATGTAGCTATCAGCTGGGCCACGTTATACAATCTGTATGCGGATCGGCTCCTCGGTTTCAACATGTTTCCGTTGTCCGTGTACGAAACGCGTGAGGCTTATCTAGGGTGGTCGTCGTCGCCCCAGTCACTCAAACCGCTCATGACAGAAACCAAGTGGTATGAAGGCAAGCTTTCCAAATACGGACTCCATTTAGACAGCAGGTGAAGGGTTCGCGATATACTTTTGCCCCCACACAGAATCTCATCGATGACTCTCTCACCGTAGATCATGGAATGCGAGGACCGGTCTGTATCAAACCGGTGTACCGGGCCTTCCCGTTCGATCCCAGTTCACTCACTGGAGCTTCTTCCAACAGATTGGCAATTCTGGGCGGCAGCTACCGTGACGAACCAGACGCTTCGAGCCAACATGATCAATCTCGTCAAGAAATACGCTAGCTCTGGACTGCTCAGCAACCCGTTTCCGGACAGGTACAACAGCGTGACCGGTCTGATGAAGACAGATTACGATCGAACCATTGTCGGTGGTCATTTCGCCCTTGTACGTCGTTCGGGGATGTCGCCTCGAGATCTTTGGCGACTGATTGTGTTTCTTTTTTCGAATTGATTGTGTGTAGCTACTTGTTCCTGAAGTCCAGGGGAGCACCAACGGCGGCGGTGGAAACAACGGAAACAAAAACGGGGGTACTGGCAGTGAACTACCCATTTGTTTCCCAACTCTCCCTATGGCGTTGACGATGCTTATCGCGTTCGTTTGCGTGCTATTCTGAAGCCTGGCCGACGAGTGTCACCAAGGCGTCGGCGATTCCTCACTTCCGTTTTTTGACTGTGCATAGTAGGGTTGCATATGTACAGACTTTGAACTTTATGAATAATTAAAGCTGGAGGCTGCGGTGAAGCATTGATATCAAAAAACCGCATGGGCAGAGTCAGCGTCACGGGCTTTGAGAATGGGGCAGGGTGGCGGAGGTGTTGGAGGGCGGAAGTCTCGTTCCATTAGTGCCTAGCATCTGTTGAGAGAAACAGAGGTGGCGGCCCGGACAGATGAGACTCAACACGACCGAGAGGAACCATGACACTACCACGGTAGAAACAAAAAGAACAGCACCTATTGAAACTTCCAGCGGGAAACGCACCCCGTGCCGTGGAGAAACCCTGAGTGAAGCAATCCTGTGTCGAGCCAAACGAGGTGCAGACAGTCACCATTGATTGTAGTCCACATTTCAACGGCGGAGAAAACCAACACACAAGTTGACCACTCCAGAGCCGCGGCAAGCCAGTGCTCTTCCAGAAAACCCTGGTGGAATAGTGACTGGAACGGGGGGGGGACGCCATGAAGATTTCCTGCCAGTGAGTCGTTGCCTGCAGCGGAAGGATCGATCACTGCCACACTGCGGGCCCGTGGCACCAGCCCTCACCCACTCCCTCCACCGCTGATTCTTCCGCCTTTCACCATCTCAACAGTACGCGACCGCTATACCACTACCACTCTGTGACCACGATAACGATTCCCTGCACCCGCCAACGCACCAGCGCATACTAGCTTCGACGTGAGTTTGGCATATCGATGCATTTTCCGACGGCTAACATGGATCGGATGCAAGTACTATGGGCCCAGAGACCAACATCAGTTCCATACTATCCTTGGAGAGACAAATCGAAGAAGGCACAGGAGACGTCATTCAACTCAAACGCGCCAGAAATTCGTTGCTGAACATATCGCGAATGCCGCCCGAGATCCTGGGTGATATCTTTCACTGGATTGTCATCCCCATTGGCGATTTTGGAGGGATACAAAATGGATCCTACAACTTCCTCCTCGTCTGTCGCCATTGGTTCGAGGTCGCCTCGAAGACTCCAGAGCTTTGGAGCTTCTGGGGAAACACTATCTATCAGTGGTCACGGCGGTATCAACTGTCTGGAGTGAACGCTCCCGTCGACCTTGCCCTGTCGTATGACACCGGTTTCACAGATACAGATGGTACCCCTTTCGATGAACCCCTACAAAGTGCCCTCCAAGATCGCGTCGCATCAAATTCCATACGATCCGTTCATCTACAGGGCCGTAGAACTCTTCACCGCTCCATCATTTCCTCGTTGACCCTCAACGACAAAGAGGTTCGATACAGCAGTATTGAGTCGGTGATCTTGTTCAACCTTGGTTTGGATGCCTCCGATTTCTTCGCCCACTATCACTTCCCAAAGTTGCGACATCTTTGCCTTTCTGTGACGATGAATAGTTTGACTTGGGACTATCTCAGGTCACACACCACTGCCCTCACCTCCCTCTCCCTCATAAGCGGGAGTCCCTCATCCACTCCTACCACATCTCAATTGCTCTCTGTCCTCGCTTCAAATCCTCAGCTCCGAGCCCTTGAACTCGCCAATCCCATAATTCCCCGCGACAGCGGTGATGGGTCTAAATCACGGGTACCGCTCCGTCACCTGAAGAACATCACAATGTTCGGGGATTTTCATCCTATCTTCCGGTTACTGCGTCGATTGGACCATCCGTCAGTCATGGATACTATCAGCATGGACCTATTCAACTGCACGTCAGAAGAGGTCTCAAGAAGTTTTGGGCCATACCTGCGATACTTCCTCCTACGCGACGGCCGGTTCCAGAATCAACTGGAGATTTCTGTCGAGTTCTATTTCGGCTTCGCCTTCATCAATGCTGCCGTCGCAGGCGACACCAATGGCCTGACCCTCTCACCAGTGGGAGGATACCCGTTCTTGACGTTCGCGTTGACGCAGGGCGACGACCTCACTCCCCAGGCATCTGAAAAACTATTCACCGACGTCGTTGCACACATCCCGGGAGAGTACGTGGTGTCTTTGAAGGGTACCGGTAATTTAGACGCCATAAAGGAAGCCGTTGCCGCAATGCCAAATATTCGAAAGCTGCATCTCGTCGGTGTGCCATTGTCGGACGGATTCCTGCAGCCAGATCCGTGTGGATCACATGCCAACACAAAACTTCTTCCATCACTGCGATACCTGCATCTGCGTGACATAGTCGCATACGACTGGCACCTTTTGATCCCCTATCTCGTCCATCAAACTTCTGGTGGTCAGGCGATTTCCCTCGGGATCACTGGGGAGTCAGTCGATATCTGTCCGTGTGTGATGGAGAGGATAAAGGACTTGGTCGAAGAACTCGTTCTCGAGTTATCTTAGGATGGGCGTCTGTCAGGAGGATGAGGGAAGATGGTGAGCTGCGGAGGGATGGCAATGAAGGCTTTGGCCAACATAAGATGGGAACTCACTATACACGGATTCTTGTTAATACAGGCTCTTTGACGATCACTTATCATGTCCCTATAGTCGTGTCGAACACCCTGCGCTTATGTGGTTCGTTGCCATTCCCGCAATCGTTACTGGATGTCAAATACAGTCACCGCCACTGCAGGAATGTTCCCGGTCTCACCGTGGTTCCATCTATCCGACGGTCAGGCCGGGAACCACAACCCAGTTGTTTCTACAACACCATTTGACCTACTTTTCGAAAATTTACAGATTTCCTGCGGTGCCAAATAATGTGCAGACGGGTTAATTAACTAAAATGCGGGTTAATCTCGTTCACCGTACTTCATCAATAATACCACCCTCACATTCCACCAGTCACACGAAATATGACCAAGGTTCCCACCACCGATTCCTCATCGTGCAATTCCCGGGTAGATTCACCCCACGCAAAGCCTTAACCCTAACACGATAGAAACCAAAGTCGTCCGCGAGCCGAGATAGAGCGGCTATCCTTGCCTCGCAGCCTCCAAACCACCTTATTCTGGGTATTTTTAAAGTCGGCGTCCAAGCTGGCCCCAAGGACCCTCCCCAATCGTCTCCACGGCGAAGATGCGCCAGGGTTCGGAAGTAGACAAGAGAGGGGCAGGCACGTTGCCAGCTCCCCATGGAGAGAATGGGTCGCAGCAAGTACGGAAGGAACCGTCTTCGTTGGCATGATAGTCTCCAATTATCGCTAAACGCGAGGAGTTGACGTTTCGTGATGCGAACCCCGATGACATAGCAGCAACCGTTCAGGGATCGTTCCTGGCGGTAGAGGCTCACGATCGTCTGTTCGTAACGCGTGAGAGGGAATGCAATGGTAGGGGAAAGGTCCGATCGGCAACAACCTCGTCTCCTCTGCAGTGAGTGATGACAATCCATAGAGAATTTTTGTCTAAGCCCGCGTTGTCTAATGGTTATGATATCAGACTTCTACGCGGTCCGTCCATAGCGTGATCTGAAGGTTCCGGGTTCGAGTCCCGGCGTGGGTTTTTTACTTTATCCACTTGGTTTTTATTAGCTTCCACCATGGTCTCCATTAAGCAGCGTTAGTGACAACGATGCCTCGGTTTCAGAAAATCTCCCGGAAACAGGTCACGTTCAAGTGCATCTGCACGCCCTTGCATATTTTGGAACCCGAAGCCAGGCCTTATGTCAACAATCTCGATCGTCATTCGGTCTGGGCCTTGGATAACATGAACGATAACCATATGCAGAGTAGTGTAAGACAGACGGGCACATTGCAACCAAGGCTACAAAGTTACACAACGACGAAATGTCCAGGAAAAGAAAGAAAAGAGAGCCATCCGAGATAGAGTAGTACGGATCTCTAGGAATGCATATCCGGTCGACGTTCAACGCGCTTGATTCGTCCCCGGTGTACCCAACCACAGGCTTTGACGGTGAGTGGTCAATGGGCAATAATGCGCGAGTGGGATCGTAAATGGTGCTGAGATAATTAAGGCTGCGTATCCTCCTTGCTCAATGTTGTCAGTTCGTCCAAGATATACCGCATCTCTTCCTCAGTCTTTGTCAGGGGCAAGCTACGCGCCACAATGGCTCCGAACTATGTTAAGTCGGCAAGATCAGGGACGACGACCGAAGGGCACGGAGCCGATTAACTCACCAATGTGCAGAATCCGCCAAACCTCAAGACCCACGCGACACCATTCCGGCCATAGTAGGTCGTTTCGTCATCTTGTTGACTCCCATCGACAATGTTGAAGATAAGGCTAGCCGCAAGTGAAACCTACGGAGCGCAGGTTGAGTAAATTCTGCTCCAGGAAGAAGGCTGGACGATGGAGAATGACTCACGAGGAACTGGGGGAACACAATCGCCAGATTATGAATCCCCAAAACCGTCCCACCGGCAACAGGTCTATTCCTATCAACGGGGCCAAGCAAACTCTCCTCATAAGTTTCCAACGACGCCGTTGCGTGAGACAGTAACGGTTGCCGTTCAGAAGCGAGCCCAAAGTTGGCAAAAGAGGCACTGCCAGTTTGAGTACGAGAGTGGGCGCGCGAATGAGCCCGGGAATGAGCCCGAGAGTGGATACGAGTGTTGGCGCGGGTTTGGGCGGGGGAAGTGGGTTCGACGATCTCTTCCATCTCTTTAAGGAACTAGGAGTGGAATGTTTCAGAATCAGGAAACTACAGTGCAGACCCGGTCCCCACCTCCATGATAATAGCGAACGGCACCCAGCAGGCAACAGCCCAGGAGATACCGACCAAACTGACAAGGACGATGGCCTAGATCGGACGGTCAGACCCTCCCAATGGCCAAATACTTCCGATTACGTACGCCGATGGTTGATTGGACGAAGAAAGTCAACATCGTCAAAACCGTGAATAACAACAGTGCGCCAATCCAAATCGTCCTGTACAGGACAGGTAGATTGGGCAGCCTCATCTTTTTGCCCTTCTTGGCCGCGTCGACGCGCCATTCGTGGATCATATTCCTCAGACGGATGGTTTCTTCTTCTTCGTCCTCATCCTGAACACGGAGGAGACGCGTGTCACGACGAGAAAGATAGGGAAGGAGGGCTCCCGCGGCCGCAGCAACGACACTGTTCAACAGCATACTGAAAGCTCCCATACGAGTGGCATACTCGGCGTCAGGTTCTGCGTTCTTCTCCCTTGCCATGGCCTGGCCGATGTATGTCGTACTAAACCGCGATGTCAACAGATAAACCATAGAAGTCTCACTCTCACTCACGCGTAGAAAAGGAACGGGAACCTGTATCAAAATTCAGTGAAGGTGCACAAGGGTGAACAGGAAACCGCGAGTTTACCATCCCATGAACGCAAACACTTGAACAGCGCAAACCTTCCTGATGGGCGTGGGCAATTTGAGGATCGCGGCACGAATGTTGCCCAGAATCTTCCTCAGCTGACTGTCTCGCTCGCATCAGCAAACCTACTAGCAACCCAAACACGAATCACAATCAAACGCGCACCTACTCCCAGCCTGTTTGTTGGGTCGCTCCTGCTCCTCCTGGGTCCAACACGTAATCCAGACCGTGATGATCAGAACCACCAAGACGATGATACAAAACTTCCTAAACTGGCTGCCACCGATCCACCTCAAGACAGGTATGTCGGCCAAAGGAAAGAATCCGAATCCATAGCCGATAATGTTCCCGGCCTGGGTCATCCGACTGTGCCAGGCGTTACCGGCATTAAGTTGACCTGCCGGAGTGATATCCAGAAGCAAATTTCGCAGGGAAGCCTGTAGCGCATTGAGCGCAAAATCAAGCAAATAGAATGATGCTATGGCGAGTCCGATGGCGGTATCCGAAATGTAATCGGACCGCTTGGGGTCCCAATCGCCTTGTCCACCACCGAACAAGTCGACGAGGAACGTGGAGAGCTCCTTGCAGTAGGCGAGGGTCAAAGTGGAGAAGACGAGCACGGCGGTGGAGGAGACGATCCAGTATCTCCTGCGATACTTTGACGTGGAAGAATCGGATATGGCGCCTATTGTGTTATGATAGAGTAAAGGAAACGTGTTAGAATCAATGAAGATTGCGAGCATTCATAAAACTGAACCCGTGAGAGCGGAGAAGCAAAATGTTTAACTGATTATGGAAGGGGTGAGGAATTCAACCGGAAGACCAGGAACGAGGGGAGATAATGGTTGCAAAGATAGAGAAAGCGCGGGCTGCACCGTAGGAGACGGACGCACCGATGAGAGGCTGGGCGATCAGCCCGCTAATGGGACCTGCAAGCCACACCAACGACGTGAGTTGTTCCGACACCCCCAAGCTCAACAAGAAGGGTGTCCCATATCTACCAACAAATTCCATAAGCACTCCGACGATACAGCGAAGTATCGACGACCAAAAGCGACATAAGGTGGAAGCCGGACACCGTGAAGCACTCACCCGAGTTCAACAGTCCAAGCGATCTGTGCACCCGCCATTGAGATGCTCAGGAATATCAAGTCTTTCGTCGTCAAACTCTTCTTTGAAGGAGGGATCGCGAGGGGCTTGATGCCCGAGACGGTAGGATCCAACCTCAACGGCCCCCTTTCAGCTTGAGGGGATTCAATTGCCCCTCCGGGGTAGTTCGACTTGATGATGTGGGACCCGGAGGCGTTTCGACGGCTGGAGGGCCAGGTCATTTGCGTTGTCGGGTCGGGGTCAGCGTCAGGGTTATGAGGGAGAGTCATGTCTCCACTGGGTTAGGTGCTTGTTCTGTCGGTGTTGGAGTTTCCGCCTAGTCTATGACGTGGAGAGGTGAGGTGAGTGCGAAAGCCCCGTGGACAAGTTGGGTTGAGGAACGCGTGCCGTAGTTACCACGGTGATGGTCTGCAGCAAAGTTGGACTTTGTGCGTGAGTGCGTTCAATAGGATTTCTACTTGTTGTTCTGCCTCCGAAGGGCCGTTTGCCGGTTAAAGTGACCAACAGTTTGACAGATCAATGGGATTGTCCGATCATTTTGATGGCAGGAGGAAAGCCGAAGAACTTCGACAGGACACTTGGTCTACCAATAAGCATTTGGAAAACAGACCACAAAACGACTACTGTACTTGTGTTACAGTACTACACGAACGACGGACGGCGGTTAATACATATATGTTGCGGGTGAAATGTGATGAGGATGGATGATGATCAGTTCCAAGTACACGAATGAGTGGGGAAGCCAGAAAGCAAGTGAAAAGTGGCAGATCTAGAGAGATCAAGTGGTCGAGGTCCCACGTCGATGACCAAATTGGTCGATTGGGGGCAGAGGTTTGCTTAATATGTGGAAAGGAATCCTCCGATGGCTTGTCATCACCGCTGGCGACGTACCCGAAGGCCCCTTCCCGCTCCGATCAGTCCTGTTCGTCGACGGTCTTGTTGGCGGCGGCAATCGAGGAGTCGGGTCCGGTGGCGGGAAGTGCGCATAAAGTTCGCTGGGACCTGTGTAATCACCGTCATCCCTATCATCTGCCCTCCCGCCTGACAACGTCCGGATGCTAGATCCACCAGGTCTCGGCCGTGTCGGCGTTGTGGCATTCGAGCCCCCATTCATTTGGTGGTTCCCATTGATAGTTGAAAACGAGGAACTGGACCCACTAGGATGGATCTCCACGGGATTTGTACCTGACCTCGACCTCAACATCTCCTGGCTACCCCTACTTACCAACCCGAACCCGTTCCCATTGCTTCTCAGTTGAGCTGCACTAGCCGAAGGTCTCAGTAACCTCCTCGGTTGCACCGAACCGTTCACCAATGAGTTCATCGGAGGAATAACTTCTTCGCCGTCGACACCGTTCAGGTTCAGGTAGCCAACTGACTCCGTCTGGGATGGCGCGTCTGTCGAGGTCGTTGCCCCACTCCCACTTCGATTCCTCCGTTTGTACTTTTCCATCGCGTCAGCGTCCCTTTCCAACATCCGGGTCGCGATCGGCGATAATGTGCTCTGTGTCGTCGGCAATCCGGAACTTACGGGGAGGGATGGTGAGGTCATGGAGAAGGTGCTACTGGACCCAGCGGATATTTGGTTGTAATATTGGGGTATCGATCCAGCTGATGGAAGGTTGGTCGAATGAGTCGATGGTGATGACATCGGAGAGTTCGAGGTGTAGTGGCCATGTAACAGCGACGGGGAGCCATCAAGCTCGCTCTCGGAAGTTGTCCCCCCCGTCATACGACTGGCACCAGATCCGCTTCGAAGCCGTGGGCTCCCAGTACCGTTTCGCCGGTGCAATTTTGGAGGCGGGACAACAGCATCGAGCGCTCTTTCCGTTCCTTTCTGCGCAGCCTGAGCGAAAACCTGTCTTCGTGCGCGTTTGTTGTTCTCGAACTGTGCTCGCGCGGTATCCTGTAGCGTGTCTCTCGTGCTTAGACTGTTCCGAGGGCCAAGTCAGACCAAACAGTGCTGATGACGGATTGTGTGAGAAGAAACAACTGACGAGTACGCGTAGTCCGAGGCTGTGAAACCCTCGTTGTTTCTGGCGGAATATTGACAACCACGTTCAATCAGCAGCTGTAAGATCTGGTAAGAG